CACTGTGCTTTCCCATGCTGCCCCTAAATGGACTGGCACCTGCTGCTGGAAGGGCCCCTCATGGGCAGTAGCAGCTGTGAAAGGCCTTCTCCAGCTGTGGCAGCTCCTCTCTCTTGTCTGCAGCCAGAATTAGTTGGGGTGTCACTGTCCCATCTTGATGCAGCCAAGCGTCTGCTCCACAGGGCTTCAGCAAAGCCCGAGCACTTGCAGGCAGCTAGTTCTTTAAAAAGCTGTTTATTATCACAGTGGAAGAGTGGAAAAACATGACACAGTGTACAGAGAAGGCTTCAGCAAATTACAAACAAGTCTGAAAAAAGTCACATTTGTCTCTGAGTAAACAAGGCTCTCCCTGCAAGCTGCAGAAGTGTTGCTCCAGTGCCCCTTACAAACAGGTTGGTAAGTCTAGGAAGAGCCTCAGCCAGAAATGCTGTGCAGATAAACAAGGGATGTCCTGCTGCTCCCAGAGCAGCCACCAGTTTGCCCTGCATGACTCCCAGAGCTGGGATGTGCCCTGTGAAGCAGATCCCCTGCTCTGGGGGTGCTGGGAGCGGGATGCTATGAAACTCCTTGGTTTTGTTAAACCCAGAGTGAGCTGTGCTCATACCTTCAGTCCATCCAAACAAATGTTTGCTGCCCAAAATCACCTCTGGAAGGAGTGGCTGTCACTTGCTCTGTCTCTGGCACTGTAATCTTGTTTCAGTGCCAAACTCTGTCCTACATGGAGCTGGGCTTGATCCTGCCACATTTATCCTGAGGCTGCATTTAGCTGCTGCTGCAGCCCTGTAAATGCTGCTGTCCCTGAAAACACCCCCTGGATGCCCAGCTTGTAACAGCCAGGTATGGAACAAGATTTGCAACAGGGCTGAGCTTGTCACTACAAACAATGCCAAAGGCTGCTCTAGCCCAAAAAAGGGGCAGATGTGACTGCACTGGAAAGTTTGAGGGATGCTATTTCAGTCAATTAGTGAAACAAGGACAGGAACTGTAGTTTTCCACCTGGTAAATGAGCAAATAATTCTGTGATTAGAGCAAAGTAGGAGCACACTTCCTCAAACATAGGCAAATTACACCTCTGGTGAAGGCTCTTCCTTGCACCAGTATCTTCTCCCTTCCATCAGAGCAGGCTGGCAAAACACACTCTGACAAGGTGCATGAGTCTCTGATTTGTTAAAGTCACTGAGAAGTCTTTAAAGGCTTTGCTTTGGCAGATGTTTTAGCAATTGAAATCCAGCTCATCTGTAACTGTGTGCCCTTTTGCTTCAGTAAACAAATGGCTCAGGTGCAGAAATCATTCAAGTTAGCTGAGTTCCCTCTGGCATGGTTGGAAAACCTCATCTGTCTCCCTGGGAAAAATCAGGTTGATACCACAGGCACAGAGGAAAATCCACTGAAAAATAACTAAGTTGGTTTTCTTCCCTTTTTATCCTTTATAACTGCAGGTTTTGTGAGAAGCCCAGTGAGTATTTGAGAATGTGTTAGGGAGCTACACATGAGAATGTGAAGGGTGTAGACAGAATTGAGGGCTAGGAAAGGTTTGCTACCTCATAGGAAATGGAGAAGCTCTGACCTACAAAGCAAGCACTTTCTTTGCTTCGTGGGGCAGATTTGGGAGATGAGGAGGTGAGGGTTTGTTGGTCTGGGATTTTAACTGCAGATTCTTCTTCCAACCTACCAAGGTTTTGTGTGTTTGTCAGCAACTGGAGAATTGTTTCTCCAAGTTTGGGGGCAGGGGGTGGGGAATGGTAACATGGAGAGGAAGAAAAATGGCTCACACTTTTCCATTTTAGGTTTATAAACTCAAACTCTACCCCCTACACTGTAGGGGGTAGAGTTTGAGTTTATAAAGCTCCCACAAAAAATAATCAAACATCCCACTCCTTTGCTAACTGATTTCTTTTAAAGCCTCTAAAGTTACACTCCCTAAGTATTGAAGTTGGAGGGAGAAGGCCCAACTTTATTGTTCAGCATCTGACTCCGTTTATTCACTCAATCAGTCACTTTTTATAATCGTGTTAATTAAGTTCATGCATATTGCAAAATCTGAGCTCCTGACAGGCTGTAGAGAAAACTTCAGCTCCTCCTTTTGTTTACAATACCTGAAGTTAGTTTACTGAAACCAAGATGAGTGTTCCCACCACGATATGAAGAGTTCTCAAAACCTTCATATCTATTCCCAGACTGGCTGTCTGTTCCCAGTAGCAGCCAAGGACAGAACGGTCTGAGAATCTTGTTGTTTATATAAAAGGTGGCTGAGAACCTAATTATTTACAGGATCAAGCCTGGGAAAGGCTGCTTTTTCCCTTAGCTGAATACCTTCATGGCCTCTTTCTTTAAGCCATGCTTAAACCAGGCTCTCCACACCTAAGCAATAATCATTTGGGGGAGGATAATGTTTTCTTGCTGGTCCTTGTTATTACTACTGCCCCTTGCCTTGCTGTGTCCACTGATTCAAGCACAGACTAAAAGCTTTCCAGGCCAATCTCAATCCTCCTGTGTGCTTGCCTGTTGCTGGGAGAAGGGATTTCTACTTGATACAGTTGATTTTCAATTGTCCTTTCTCCCCACTGATGCTGGGCAACGTGACATTGGTGTAGTGGCACCAGCACGGAGCTGAGGCCAGGAGCCAAGGCAATGAACAGCCTGCTAATTAATTGTTCACATTTCTGTCCAGACCCCCTCCCCAGAACAAACACTGTGGAAACAGGAGGCAGCTGTTTCTATGCAGCCCTCTGGAAATGTGAAACAAAAGTGGTTTACTGCCCGTGTTATGGCTTTACCATAAAAAAATGTGATGGCAGCAAGGGCTTCTGGTTGCATGGAAGAAAATGGACTGGCTTTGATATGAGACAAAAAGATTACTGAAAATAATCTGAGCCCGATGCATCTGTTCCTACCCATCCAAAAAACCCCAACAACAAAAAAAAAGTAGTGTCTGCCATGCTGCCTGTAGTCAGTGGAGAAAGAGGGACCTAATTTCTAGGCAGGAAGAAGGAATTAATGTTCAAAACACCACGCAACTACTATAGATACTGTTTCTGGTAAAGTTGTGTATATATTCATTTTCAGTTCTGAGGCAGGTAATACTCAGAGCTGATGGAGTTTGTGCATCTTGCACCCTTTCTTGTATATGCATGCTTGTATGTCTTTATTTATGAATATAAATAAGTTAACAGATTATTTACATCACTGTACAGAATAGATCTAAACTCAGTTATCAAAATGGATACACCTGCCAGTGGACTTAGTCTGTTAACACTTTGCATTTCATCTTCAAAGCACCAAACAAACATTAATTATTTACCCAGACAGCTTCCCACTCACCAAAAGGATAAAAAATAACAGGCAGGGTAGGAGATGGAGCTGAGGGAGTGCAGTGTGTTCACAAAAAGGCAGCTTATTGTGTATCTCTCTCCTGCCACGAGCACTGTAGACTGATGCCTTTATAAACTCTGCAGTCCAAGTGTAGGAGTAGCCTTTGTTAACATCAGCTTGGCAAAATGGGAAAGTCCTCATTCAAAAGCAAATGATCCGCTCTTCATTTTCAAAAGCTTTGGCCTCTTCTTGGCTTATCAGGTTCCCATTCAAGCTGGAGGAGGAGAACAAAAGGGATGTGAGTGAAAGTAAGGTAGTGACCATTTCCCATCATCTGTGTGCATCATCTTTGGTGCAGAGGTTTGAAATGTCACGTGGGCTGCACGCTTCTCAGCTGGGAATGGGTGTTAGGCTGGATCCAGCACTGCTGTTCCCACTGCACATCCAAGGAACAAGGCTCTCCCTCAGAAATAAAACCTGAACACACACCTGAGCTCCAGTAACTGAACTTGGCATTGGAAACCCAGCTGTTTGCATTTCAGCAAGCAGCACAAAGTTGACAAAGGTTCTTACTGTACAGTGGGCTGGTTTAAAGATATTTAAAGTCTACAGAGCATTTTGTGTCTTCCATGACAACATGGGAAGAAAATTCTGTGAAGCATTCAAGTATTATTAATGTGAAATGACCAATAGTTAAATTTTCAATTCTGGCTACATAAAGATAATCTACATTGATACTTATACCCCTGAAAATGAGCAGCCTGGTTAAGTGCTGCTCTCAGAAATGTTGAAATCCATTAAACCATGCAGATTTATGAAATTACTTGGGTTAATGAATGCCTCTGAACATTCAGGCCAGAATCAAAAGACAGATTTCAGTCTGAAGATTCAGAATGATCTGAGGGGAAGTTGATGCCTCTTCTGTAGACGAAAGCTGACAGTGGCTTTTGGAAAAAGTACCTCTTCCACATCTCCAGGGAACACACCAGTCAGACAGTGAGTCATTGTCTTTCTAAGCAAGAATTCAGTGTCCTTTCACTGAAACAAATACATATATTTAAAAATAAATTTCATGTTCAATAATAAAGCAGCAGTGCTAAAACCAGCTCAGTTCTATTGACTCCTGAGCTCCCTGAGGTGAGGGAAGGAATGTGGTATTTGGCTTTCTGCCTTAAATGTACACGTGTGACTATGTGATGCCCACCTAATCTACAACAAACAAATCCTACAAAAAGTTAATCATCTTGTAGCTTAGCACTTTCAGTATGTTTGGAGCACCGCCCAAAAAAATCCAAGCACAAATGCTGTGAAGCAGACTAGTAATGCTGATTAAAGGTAACCATCTCCTGCTTATTTGGCATTTAGGTCCTGAAAAGCACGGACATGTTCAGAAGTTAAAAAATATAAACAACAAGCAAAGCTGGGTCTATAAATTCAGGCCCTGATTCTGCAAATCAGTGGTACAGACAGATGTGAACCAAGAAAACTGCCTGACATTCATAATACACAAGGAAACGTTTCAATGGCAGTGGCTTTTTACATGTCTGAAATCCACAGCTGGAACTACAACCCCTGCCTCACATAAACTTGCTCTGAATTTTTTAGGCTGGGAAGTAGTAAGGCCAGTAGGGTTTTAAAGGGAAAGGAAGTTTACAAAGTGACCCTTTGAGAAAAGGACATTTACCAGATTTCTTGAATAGTCGTGTTCTCCTTGAGAGCTTCACTGAGGCACTTCACCCCTTTGGCTGTAATTTGATTCTGGATAAGCCTGAAAAAAAAAAAAGCATTTCATGTCAATCTAACATGCAAACTAATTTGCAGCACATGCACAACCTGTGCTCAGCTTGACATTAAGGAGCAAAGCTGTCTGCCACTAGAAAATGACTGTGATTTTATCTGTGAGAATGGTACACAGTATTGGCCAAATGTCCCACATGCACTTTCAGAAACTAAGCTCAGAGTATTAATCTTTTCCATTTAATCTTGCATGTGGTTCCATTCTGGAGATTCTGAGCAATTTTAATTACACAGCTGACAAATTTCTGCTATGTTCACTAGTGGTAGGGGATTGTGGTATTTAGACTGAGACAGACAAACCTCTCAGCTCTGCTTTCTTACTAAGAAGACTGTGAGACATTTTTAAGTGATGTACAGAAAATTCTGAGTACAGACCCTGTGTGGGCCTAGTGTTTTAGCAGTTATGATCCAGAAGCTGCCAAATATTCCAGTCTTGTTTATTAGACCAACAAGATCTTTGAAAAATAAAGCATTGATTCTGACTCTGGTATGAGCAGGTGCAAGTCCCAGTGAAGCCAACTTGCCAGCCATAAATTATGTCTCATCTGAGCTTAGGGAAGGAAAAAAAACATACCTAAAATCCTCAAGCAGTGAAACTGATGAAGCAGTAGGTAACTCTTATTTACCACTGTAGACCATCCCATTAGCTAAAGATGAACAAAGGCCACTCATCTGCATGAGTATAAAAATACTCATCAGCCTAGCTTAATTCAGTACTCACCTTTCAGTCCACCATGGTGAGCCCCACAGCTGTACTATTCCATGTGCCTGGTTGCATGAATCCCTCAGGATTCAGGATGAGGCTGAAAATTGGAGTGTATTGAACAATTTCTGAGGGAAGGAGGGAGGGAAGAAGGCATTCCCATTAAAGGAGTTTCTGCACTTGGAATCAAAATGCAAAGGGATCCAGTAGAATCTTTCTGCTACTGGAAAAAGACTTTAACTCAGCCTCAAGTTCAACTATCTATATAGGTTACCCCTTTTGGAGGTATCCACTGGTGCAATCAACAAAGCAGGATATCAATTTGGGCACTGGCAGACACCCTTGGACAACACTGAGCCATGACAAAGACATTCATCTCGATTACTATGCCTGCTTTGGCTGGGGTAAGTTTTATTATGAATTCAACCCAAACTGCTCAGTGAATTATATCTGCAGCTGTGCACAAAGAAATCAAGCACTTCCCCCACTGTCTTTTCATTTTCAGGGTGATGGGCACCATAGCTTTTGCTGCTTTCAAAAGAGGCTGTGAGTACTTGGCACCCATGACAGCCAGCATGCTTCCTAAGGGGCTGGAACTAGGAATAATACAGGGAGTGTGCTGGAGGGTGGTCAGCCAAGTCTTTGTAAATCATACAAAGGGACTCCATGTCTGGTGTTCCCTTGATCACTTGAGATGAATGGATGGCTATTTTTTTTTTACAGCTCCCATCTGCCCAACCCCATCCATTGGCAACCTCTGGATTAGAAAAGCCAACGCTGTGTTTTTTTAGAAGTGTAAGAAGTCTTACTGTGATTGCTAGAAATAATCCCTGGTTTCCTGGGGATTGATGCCTTGGAGATGAGTGTCATGCATCAGTGTATTGCTAGCTTGAAAAGCAAGCATCAGGCAAATGTGACATGTATCTGTCTGTCACCTAGGTTCTTGTTTGAAGAGTTACTTTCATAGCATGATAATAAACAGAAAGAATTGTAATAACCTTATGCTGTTCTAGCTGACTGCTTGGGGCTTTGGGTTTTTTTTTTTTTTTAACTTTTGATTTTGAGGTCAATACTGTTCCCCTAATGAGAGACGAAATCAATCATTAGTTTGAAAGTTACCAGAAACAGCTTGAACTTTTCCCTGTATGGAAGCAGGTTCCAAATGCTAGACAGCAGCTTTATTAACTTCCCGTTAGAACTGTCTACAAGCAGTCAGCTGCATCCAGACCATGCACAGAAGCTGTTACTGTGACCTACATAGACTTGGAAGGTGAAGCTTTAATGTAGTGACTGCCAAAGAGCCTGTGCCACTGTGGAATGTAACTCACCATAAATGCACCAGTTTCTTGTTGACCTTCAGCATCTCTGCAAAACTCATTGCTGCCTCATCATCCAGCTCGTTTTTAGTCAACCTAAGTGGGAGAGAAAATGTCCACTTAGGATGTTGACATTATTTTTCAGCCCCCTTTTTTGCAGCTTTCTGTGACTTAGCTTTAGACAGCCAAAGGGGGATGTGCTGTTCCTGCCCTGAGCAATTTGTAAAGGCTGGACACAAAGAGATATTGAAGAGAAGCCCTGGAGGTAAAAGAGACAAGAGTATCAGATCTTTATTTCTCTGAGCAATGCTCTAGTGATACTTTCTCATGATGCTTTAGTGTCTAAAAGGTGAATGAGGTGTGGTGGGAAAAGGTACAGACAACACTGAAGAGGTGCAAAAACTGAGGACAAAGAACTTGACTTCATATGATGGAAAGGAGAGAAGGTGGGGAAAGCAAGATGGAGGGAGCAGAGTGAGGCATGACACTGGTCACTGGAATGTATCCCAAAGGACATGTGCTGCTGATCCATTACTCATGCCCACGCTCTTCCAAAGGGATACCTTATAGCTTGCTGATAGGGAAAGCAGAGGGGATGAGGGCAGGGAGAAGGAGCAGGGAGAGTAGGAAGGGCAATGGGATTGGAGGACATAAACCAGCATTTTGCTCTGGAAAAGGAAGCAGAGGAGAAAGAGACCACACTGTCAATTACCAGAATATCCTCACGGAGTTGTTGTGCTGCATGGCTTCAGCAATACTCTTGCCTCCCTCTGTTGTGATGCCATTGAATGCAAGACTGTGAAGTAAAGATACAAATGTCTAAGAAGCAGAACCACTTGGCTCTCCCACTGCAAATACCAGGGAATACCCTGGATGATCTGCTTCCTAGATGTACAGCTCAGCATTTGTGTGTTTCAAAGGCTCACACACTCCACAAACCACTTACAACTTTTACAAGTGAGAGCAGTTCACAGTCTGCAGCCTGAGTGAGGTCTATCAAACAGTTCACGAGGTTTGCTGTCAGTGAGTTGTGCTCTTGGGACTGACAGCAGAGTTGCACTCAGTAATTTTGAGAGTTGAGGCTCTTAACAAGGACAAAGAGTTGTGCTTAGCAGCACACAGGTTTTTACATGTGTTTGTCATCCCTGTACAAAGTGGACACTTTGTCCTTTTAAGTCCTTCAGGCATCCAAATACTTCATTCTTCTTCTACATACAACACCTTCTTTGTGTATGGAGAGATGAGCTTGTAAATGCTTTCCATTACAAACCACAAACATTCCTTAGTCTGCCCTTCATTCTTTGAAGAGACATTGGCAAAATCATCCAGTCAAAGTTATGCTCTGGGCTTTAGGAGTTCAGAAAGCATCTCCCCTCTTAAAATAATGCAAGGCCTCAAAAATGTAGAAAGGGGAACCAAGTAGAGCAATAACACAAGTATGTATTGGCATGAGTCCCTCCTAGCTTCAGCTTAAACTGGATATTCTCAGTCCATCATGCTTGGGCCTAAAAATGGCAAATAAAGTAAACTGATGTACTAGGGATTATCTTCCCTTGGTCTTCACATAAAGCTACCACAGGTGCTTACTATGAATGCTAATCATGGAGCAAGATTAGCCACGAGCAAGTACACTGCAGAGCAGAGGATTCACCTTGCACAAATGCCAGCAAACCCAAGCTCGAGACAGCACAGTTGCTCCTCTTTATTTCTGCAAATACATTCATCAGCATATTTGCTCTCATCTGAGAATCCCTGAGCTCTGATTCAAGTTCAAAATGTTTTCTTTCAAGTCTGATGCATCTGGATGGATTGTGCAATTATGGGAAGATGGCTATTTCAGATGGCTTTTAAGTTTAAATATATCTAGGTCACTGCACCTGTTCAGCTTTTAATTTTTAAGCCTGACTACCCGCTTGCAGAAAAGAGGACAAGGCACCAGCTCTGAAATCCCTGGATCTGAAGTGGCAGCAATAAACTCTCCAGAGATCCCCGAACTCCCAGAGTATTTCTGAAGAAACTAGTGCCATGTGCCACCTTGTGGGGAAACTAAGGAGCCTTGCCTGCTCCCCTCACCCTGGAGGCCAGTGGAACTGGGAGACAAACAGAAAGGGTCACCATGAACCCAGTGCTCCAGCTGTGTGGAGGGACTCCAAAACATCTTTAAATCTTTAAATCCCCAGCCAGCATTTGAAAGTTTAGCAGGGAATGGGCTGTTTAACACGCTGGTTTCTGCTGTGCTTCCAACCTCACCTGTGTTATGGCTTCCAGAAGGCTGGTTTGAGATCCATCCCTGAACTCCAGTGAGGATTACATCCAACACTGAATGTGTGGTGGTGTAGCTCCACTGGAGCACAGGATAAGCCCAAATGTAAGAATGTCCCAGCCCCTCATATTATGGCCTACAAAGTGCTTTGGTAAGAGCTGCTGCACTTTTTTAATAGATGCTGTTCATATTGAGCTCACTGGGAACCCGATTCTGTGACAGCTGGTGCCTCTTCCTGCTAATGCTCTCAGATCAAAATGGCACCCACTGACCATGTGCCTTCACAAATGGCAGACCTCTGTGCAGCATGAGGGCAGGAGGTGCACACAGAGGACAGGATGCCAGTCATGTGGTATTTTTAACTTGCCTAAAGGCTGCACAGGGCTTTTTGACAGAGTCTGGCCTCGCTTGCACCAGGGACTTCTTGGCTGCACAGCAAAGGCTGCAATACCAGATGGCATTCCAAGCCAACCCTTGGTGGGAAGAGTCACTGCTTCACAGCAGGATGGAAAAGGCAGCACTGCACCAAGCTGCCTGGCTCTGCTGATGTCTTACCTCACATTTGTTAACCTGGGGTGGTTCCTCAGGGCATCTGCAAATGCCCTTGCTCCTTCGTCTCCAACTTGATTACCCCACATCCTAGTGAAGAGAGGAGAACATGAGGTATCAGTTGTGCTGCCCTTTTGACTCTTGGCAATTAATTCTCCCTGTTTCCCTCCCCTCCACTCCTTCCTGGTTACTTCCCAGCCTTTCAGGCTCGTGAGGAACCTGGCAGGTACCCTCCCCAGTGAGGCAGGTGTGTCCCACTGCCTGCACATGGCACCAGTAACCTCTGCTGACTCACCAGCACCCTCAGGCCACAGCACAGAGGCAGCTCTAGGAGACAGCCTGTGCAGCAGGAACCTGCTGCACACTGGTAAGAAATAGTATTTCCAAAGGCAAAACCATCCTTGATTACACAAAGGGTTATCATGGGAGAGAAGGTAACATGGTACAAGCTGGAGAGATTTGATCAGAAACTAGGAATACCGGGTCAAATCCTTTCCATGCAGAGTAACCACTTTGAAAATTCACCTTGTATTACAAGGTTTGAAAACACCTCTGCTGAGGTCTGTGTTGTTGGGTTTTTTACAGGGATCCTGGCTTGATGACTCAGAGCCACACTCAGCTTATGGGTAATTAGTTGGCAGCTCTTTTAAAATCAGTTGAGCTCTGTGGTATCTAAACATATGGACTTCCAGTAAGTTCCCCAGAATTTCCTTGTCCTCCAGAGCCAGTGCAGTTTGCTATTTCAACATTTCTCTCCAAGCTATCTGAAGTCCATTTGGAGTGATCATTTCCTCCACAGGAGAAAATAGGAGTCCTTCACTAAAATTACAGCAAGTACAGCACAGTAGACCCAGCTATATGGAAGTGTGCAGGTTGCTCACTGTATTTGTGAAATGTTGTAGAACAACAAAATTACAGGCCAAAAATCTGATTGTACACATCCAATTTCCATGTCTCACAGCTACTGTGATTTTCACAATGGCCAAGCAGAGGTTTTAATTCCATGTATTCAAGTACTAAATTTTAAGAAATGTGTTCTCCTGTAGAGTGAAAAAAGAAACTTTGCCAGATTTGCAAGAAGAGGAAAAAATAAATACAATAAATCAAACCTAGCACCTTTTCTGAGAAAAAGAACAGGAACTAAAGGTTTGGAGTACATGCAGAGCTCTCTCCAATAATAGCACTTTGCAATTAGGGACAGCCTAAAGGAAAAGGATGATGTGAGTACCCTTTTATTGTCCCAGCTCACAACTTTATCAGCATGTGATGCAGAAGGTTTGACAGGTGTAACAATGACACTCAATAACTAGATGCAGTGCCAACTGTCATAAAACCACACAGACTTAAAAACAACCAAGTATCTCTAAAGAAGTTGTGCTGCCATAAAGAAAGTGGCTAGCTCTATATACTGTCCTCTTGTTTGTTTGTTTCTCCTTTAAGCTTCCGTCAGAACAGCGAAAAAGAAAAAAATAGATGCCAAAACCCAAACCAACATTGAGTGAACTGAAGAACAACAAAGCAGCATTTTCTTCCATGAAAAATGTGGCTATGCCTCTACACTTGTTTGTTCTAATGCTGATGTTGAGGAGGGAAAGAATTTAGAAGGAGGAGAGAAGGTAAGCATGAAGAAAAGGAATCCTAAGGGATTTACAGGTGCCTGGCCAAGATTAAGCCCTAACTTCTGCTCTTTAGCACTGAACTTACCCAATTTCAAACATTGTCTTGCTCTTCTGGATGGCCTGGGCAAGGCACTTCCCTCCTTCGCTCGTTATTTTGTTTGCTCCTATTCTGCACAAAGTACAGAAATTGATGAGGTGCATCACTTACAACTGTGCAGCTATCAGAACACCAGCTCAGAAAGCCACACAAGTACTTAAGGCCAATTAACTCTGCAGGTTACCTGCAGTTATCAAAGATTAACCCAGAGTGAAAAAATACTCAGGCACTTGACCTTTGACTAAAAGACATAATTTTATGTTGTCTTTTGCATGTTTTGCATGTCAGCCCTCCAAATCAGAAGTACTGCAGTAGAATCTTGGGTTTGGTGCTCAGTATGTTAGAAATGAGCTTTAGGAACTGATCCTCAGGGCAAGGACCCCGGCCTTGTTTTTAATATAATTCATACAATCAGCAATTGCTACAGAGCTCATGAATTACATGCAGCATGTTTCATGATGCCACAGGGAACAGGATATTTCTTGACTGTGTGTTTCCAGAGCAGACTGCAGCTGATAGGCACAGACCGCAATAATTTCAAGTCTTTCTGTTGTAAGCACAGGCTCTAGGCAGTGGCATAGGTCAGTGCAGCAGTCAGTCCCAGGCTGGCATTTTACACAAGGCCTCTTCTATTTTTGGCCTACATGGATATCAAATGGCTAGAGTTCAAGGGAGAGATAATTGCATATAGATTGATTTAAAGAACCAACCAGACCCCCAACCCTCCCCCCCAGCCCCAAGACACTACATTTACATAAAACTGTCTTGTTTGGCTGACTTTGAGCACATGAATGTGCACTCTATCTCAAAATAACCTCTAGGGTTACTATGTAGCCTGAATGCAACCATCCTTCAACAGATTTCTTTTTGTGAAAGCTACATTAAATAAGCAAAGCACTGTCAAAGCACTGAAAAAACTAAGTGCTCCTGCGTTTCAAAATTCTGCAAAAATTTCAAGTAGGAAGGATATGGCCAGAGTGGGGTTTCAGACCAAGTCAGTGGTAGAACAAGGACTAGAACCCAAGATTCCCTGGCTGCCTGTTCCTACATTCCCTCCCAAAGCTGACATTGCTGCAGTTACCTCTGGTTTCTGCTATGGTCACATTTAAACCATTGGTTAATGATCTACCTTTATGTCCAACCAACGTGCATGGCCAGACACTCATATCTGGGGAAGTTCCAGGAATTAAAGGGAACAAGTCACCAGGTGAATTTGGGGAATTCCAGAGTTGAGGTATGACACCAGCACAGCCCAACCCCAGTGGCCCATAAAAGGTCAGACACTAAAAAGCTTGGTACTACATCCAACGGAATTGGCCTGCTGGAAGCAGCAGCAAGGTCCATGCACAGCTTAAGCCTCGCTCAGGAGCTCTGACTGGATTTAGGTAAAGAACAAGTCTCATGCACTCCTTTAACTCACTACTGTATTCCAGAAAACACTATGGATTCAAGAGTTTCACCTGCTGCCACCCACTGCTAGACTACTGCAAAGCAAATATACAACTGCAACCTAAATTATATTTTATTTCAAATACAATTTTTTTTCTTTTTTTCTACTCTTCCTCTCCTTTCAAGCTGCTTAATCTTAATTAGGATAGTGTAGAAAGGAAAAAGAATCCAACATACTTAACATATTCCAGGCTTGAACACTCTTCAATTAATTTTGCAACGTATTTGGCTCCAACATCAGTGATTTGGTTGTTGTATAAGCTTAAAGAAAAATCACATTGGTAAAAATAGGTTATTACTGCTGTTAAATATTTACAACTTGAATGTTTTATGATGCACACATAGCATCTATCTTTTCTGTGCAGCTCTGTACATATTCACAGTTGCTTGTGTTTCTGTTTTGATATATAATTCATATTGTGATGGGCTAGATATAAAATATAAGGAGACCAGACTCCAAATCATGAATATTTATATAATTTTTAAATAAATGGTCTCCACAAGCAAACAAAGTTTCCCTTTATTCCTCTGCTAGTACAGAAATAATATTGCCAGAAGATAAGTCAAAAGACAAAACACCATAATGTACTTTTGGTCTTTTAAAAGTCATAAAATCCCCTTGCAAATATTACTGAAGAGCAGATACCTGAGCATCTGTACTTACATTAGGGCACTGGAGGAAAAAAGCTATTCTTGGTATTCATGTTTACCTTTCAAAAAGTCATTTTTATGCAGCTACTTAACCAAGAGCAGGAAGTCAGAGCTAACATGCCTTCCAGCTTCAGCTTCATTAAGAACTAATTAAGCCCTTGAAAGAAATTGGTATCATGAACATGACACTTGAAACTGCATGTTGCTGACAGCAGTCTCTACCAAGCTGTATCTGCTTTGCATAGTTGAAATAAATCAGTTTACAGTGGAGAAAACAGCAGGCTATAACTACACATGCTCTCTTGCTTGCAGTCTATCCCTTCCACAGCAGAAGGCTTTCAGTATAAAAATTAGCAAGCAGGTTAACTGGTGGTCCACACTGCGCCACAGAAAGCTTTGATGCCAGCAGGAGGCTGTGAGGGAGTGTGATGGGAGAGGAAGCTGTGGTCCTTGTCCCAGTGAAGTGTCACAGAATCATTTCTGACACAAAAAGCTGCTTTGCTTAAACTTTCCACCCCACTTTCCACCCCACCTCTGCTGTGTCAGTGCTGACAGCTTTAGAGTTTTATTTTCCAGTATCACTGCTGAGTGTTTTGCTCCCAGCTGGCTACGTACCCCAAGAAAGACACAATTTGGTACTTGGAGAGTTCTTCATACAAGATCCTCACGCCATGATCTGTGACCTGGTTTACACTCAGCCTGGAAAGAAGGGAATGAAAAGTCTGAATCAATACATACTAGCAACGTTCATCACCTGTGAGTTAACAAATGGCTGGAGGCCTATGCATTTTCCTCTGATATTTTAACAGGTCCTTATGCCACATATTAAAAGCTGTTAAGGGAAATGTGAGCTCACATTCATGTGGCTCACTCCAAAACTGATAAAAATCAGAAAGCCCCAGATCTCCTAGGTAATGCTCTGGAAGCTGTCCACAGAACTGAGAACAATAAAATGTAGGAAGTCAGACTCCAGATAAACATCTCACTCTCCTTCTGTGCTTACTGTGATTCCAGGAAGAAAGTCTGCTTAACACCCTAGCAAAAGCAAGCTGTCCAAACTACTAATCTTGCAATCTTCTCTCTGAGTACATAGCAAAAGCCAGGCATCTTGAAAGTCACAACACATTCAGGCTTCACCAAATAAAGGCTGTGAAAAGCCCTGGCCAGAAAACAGAACTGTGCGCTCCCATGGGTGTGCTAGATGTTTCTAATTTTACTGTCCCAGCCAGACACGAAGCAAATCAATATCAGTCATTCACAGAACAAAAATGCTTTGTCTCACAGTTGTTTGGGGTGGGGTTTTTTTGTTGTTGTTGTTTTGGTTTTTTTTTTTTTTTTGGTAACTTCTCAAGCTTTTTCACCTTATAGACAGGTTCAGTGAAACATTCCAGTTGCCATCAAGCACATTTTCTGGGTAAAGCTGTCCCTATGAAAACATTTTGACCACATTTAGTTTGCACACAAACTCAGTACCTGAGGATTTCCTGCTGAGAGTCCCTTATCACCAACAGCCTCCCTAAGCATTGCTAGTTAGCAACCTGGTCCCTTTGGAATGCACCAGCACACAGGAGAGATCAGCCAATTTCTACAGATCAGGACAGCAGCTTGCTTCTTTGAAAGGGATAGTTAAGCTCTTGGAAACAACATTTCCTGACCTGCAGAAATTACTCATTAGAAGTAAAAGTTCCAACATCTGAAGATCCTTATTAAAAGGATGCTAAAAGGGCAACCTAAAAGACTGTTTTGGTGCTGGGGATGGTGTTAGGATCACACTGTGTATGGCATGATCACATGACAGGCACGAAAAATGAAAGGCTGGCCTTTGCTTCTTTGTTTTGTCTTATGTACTTATGCATTTTCCCCAGGAGTTTCCTTATTGCTTTCTCCTTGGAGGTCAGTCAATTTGCAAATCACTGGGGAAAAAAACAGGAGTCACTGGCTTTGATTTATTCCTAGAGGAAAACAAGGCAAAGCACAGCCAAACAGGAAGAATAAATCCAGTTGTTAAAAAATATTCTCATGATGCTGGAGGAGCTTTAAAAAGATATATATGAAGTTCCTGATTTTCTGCACCTAAATGTTTGGACAAATAAGATATATATCTACATGGTGCAACCTCAAAGGGCTGGAGGTGAAACAATCTGGCCTGTGATGTCAGAGGTGGAGTTAGTTCTCCCTGTTCACACCAAGCCATGTCCTCCCTTCACAACACCTCAGGGGAAACACCACATGTGAAGGCATCAACTACATTCTTTCATGGATGTATATGATAGTTTTTGTCCTATGAAAGCCAGACATTTGGACAGGATGCAAAAGCAAGAAATTCAGAGCTTCTAATCAAGGGTTATTGTAATTAGGAGGTCCTCCCTTACCCCTTATGATCAAGGGCAGAGATGGCCTCAGGCAATCTTCAGATAATGAAAGATTGTTTTGTTTCCTTTTTCTTTTAAGCACCTTCTCTCATAAAAATTCTCTTCTGAGACAAAACAATTTGAGATGGAGCTAACTAAACGTACAGGTTTAAACAGTCTGTGCTTCTAAGAACTTCTGTCCACCCTTTCCATTTTGGTTTCCAAATCCACAGCTTATCTCTGCTCCTATGACTAAATGAACAAAGATTTCAGAAGACCTGAAATATTAATTTCTAGGAGCACTGATTCTCATCTGTCTCCACTTGCGAGATCAATTCCTTCAGCCCACCGGTTTGTGGAATAAATGAAGAATACACAAGGACCTGCTTACATACAGAGACCCCTACCTGATGACTGCAAGCTTGCTGAAACAAGGTTGCAGCTGCTTTATTCCATAGTCATTGATGTTGTTGTTGTCCAGATCCAGAGCCAGGCGCTTTTGGAAGTGGTGCAGAAGGAAGGAAATGGCGCTGCAGTCGGCAGAGCAGGCGTTGCAGTAGGCCAGCTTGATGTAGTTGGCGTGCATGCGGCGGGCTGCCATCCTCCCCACCTTCTCACTCTGCGTCTCATACAGGCACCTCAGCATCCACACAAAGTTGGGCTGCACCTGCACCTGGTTGTAGCTTTTCAGCCTGGACCGAGTGTAGCCTTTCAGGCGGGATTTCATGCTCTCCCCAAGGTATGTGATGAGTGTTTTTCTCTTCCTCTTAATGACCGCAGGTGAAACTAAATGTCTGAAGAGCTTCTGCCTGGGTCCAGAAAGCAGGCCACAAAGAAACATGTTGGTAAAATTAAAGTGTTCTTTATTTTGGAAAGGATCCCCCCCTGCTAGTTGTTTCTTCAGCCAGGGGATACGAAGGCAAGTAGGCTGGGCAGTCTCCATGGAAGAACATTCACTGAAAAACTCAAGTAACTCCTTGGTACCCACCTTCTCCTCCATAACCAAAAATAAAGCTGTGAAAAAAGACTGAAGGGTTAAGTGCAAGAACTCATAAGTGGCCTGACTGTCACAGCCACTATAACCTTTAACTGTCCTGAGAAAGCCCAATTGCAAATCTTCTTCAGAGATGTTTGCCGATGAGACTTCCTCCTGCTCAAAGATAAAGGAAGAGTTCTCCATCCCTTTGTATGCCATTTTACCCAAAGCTAGAAGACTTTCCTTTCTTGACTTGAACATCTCTGCTTGGCTCCTGATATTGCTCTTCAGCAAACTTGTTTTCACTGATCGGTTCAGGTGTACTTCAATCATGAGCAGAAATACATCTGTTAATGTAACAGAACTGTCTGGGAGCTCGTGGCCGTCAAACCACTGGCTGGAGTGGAAGTGCTCAAAGCATTTAAAGATAATCCAGCAAAATAAAGGCACTGAACACAAACTGCAGAGATTTGGGTTAGCTTCCAACTGGTTTGACACCAGTGCTCGTTGCTGCTCATCTTTGAAAAACATAGCTGTGTATTCCTTCAGGTTATTCCTGGAGAAACCACGGAGCAACACCTTCTTCCTAATGATGTTTTTTTGGATCTCAGTTCCTGTCCTGGCAGTAAGAATTTTCTTGGATCCCTTAAGAAGCTTTCCTCTGAGAAGGCTTACGAGCAGTGCCAGGGGGTGGATGGGTTCATCGGGTGAGCATACCTCAGGTACACTGCTGAGATCAAAGCTGGAATAGATCTCATCAAAGCCATCAAAGGTGAAAAGAACTGTATGAGGGAACTGCAAGATGTGATGGAACACTTCTGCGGGGTCCTGGTCTGGGTAGCAATTATATTTGAAGAGCAGGTCTTTCAAACATATGGCTTCATCTTCCTTGAAGCAGCTAAACATCCTACACCGAAAACAGAAGAAAAACTTGGCCCCTATGTCCAACTCCTTCCTGGCCCAAAGGCTTTGTATCTTTTGCAGCAAGATGGATTTTCCAATTCCTGCATCACCGTAGACATAAACAGTCTCTCCATCTTCATTAATTAGCCCAACTGCATCATCAAAAAGGGCTTCTAGTTGTCCCACCTGGCCAAGACTCTCATTGGTAAAACTGACCAGCTCCATAATACTGTTGGAGTAAATTTCTTCAAGAAGCATCTCCTCCTTCTGAGCGTACAGCATAAAAAACTTGGAGTCCCGTCCCAGTTCATGTCTGAGTTTCTGGCAATACCTGCTAACTAAAAAGACAGTGAACTATTATTAAAGAGACTATTATTTAAAAACCTATGTCTACAATGACCCACCTCTTTGGGAACTCAGAGGGGGTTATAAACAAAAGTAATTCTGATGTGGAAAAGGTTCTTTGGCAGATTAATTCTATTTGTGCTGCCATCATCACCCACTTGGGAAATTCAGGTGCTAAAGAAAGGTCACATGTGAGCCTCCACTTCCTGAAAGCCAGTAGTGATGCTGCATGGGTTTAAGGGGTTACTATCCTTCAGCTGAGACTCAAAGCCAAGCCCCATATTTTTTGTCAAAGGCTGCTTAACTCTCTGCAAAGGCTTGTTGGAGTTGTTGGTCACTGATTTCACTGTGCCTATATACTAACTGCAGTTGTATCAGGTAGTTGGCTATTCTTTCCTAACTTCTTTAGCCATTCATATTATTGCAAATAGAAGCCATGCATTTTAGAAACCTAGTACCAGGCATCTCATAGATTTTTTTAAGATGACAAAAAACCCACAAGAGAATCTCAGTTATTCCACAATGTTGGCCTGTGGTTCTCAACAGAAACTTTGCTTCAGATGAGGACAAAGTAATTCTGATATTTATGTAGTATGGAAAAACCTCTCTAGAGGAAATAATTTCTACATACTTAAAGTCTGATTTTTAGGATTGCTAAAAATCATCATTTAGGATGACAATAATTCTGGTTGGAAGGGACTTCAGAAGGCCTAGTCCTACCCCCTGCTGAGAACGGGATAATTTCTGACATCAGACGAGGTTACTCAGGGCTTTGTCTAATTGGATCTTGAAAACCCCCATGGAGACTGCACAGCCTCCCTGGGCAACCTGCCTCATTGCTTGACTGTTCTCATCATGAAATATTGTCTAGTCCATGGCCAAAACATCACAATGTTGCTAATAAATTGTAGTAGAGGCCTAGAAAATACTACAGCTGGCACAAGGTGGTTCTGCCATTGTGTTACATACCCACAACCAAATGCAGAAAGAGCCCAAGTTTAACAAAACAGGATGTAATTTATCAAAATCACCCTTGTGTTTTACAGTGTGCCTTATAATTTGGCTAATTAATTTTGCCTTTTAATTTTCCCTGGCTGTGCCTGCCTAAACTTTTACTCTCCTGTCACTTGGTTGGAGCTTCCTACATAGCAGGGCACTTCTGAGGGAAGGGATAGAGATGCATGACCTTACCTGGATCTGTATTTACCACAGGTTTACTACAAATATTCTCTGAAGGCTTGTAACCTATTTCATCCAGCCAAGGCTGAAGCTCATAGTAAGCATCAGTGACTTTCTGCAGGACATAGACGAAATATTCCGAAACTTCTTCTCCCTTGCTTTGAACCAAGTCTAGAATTTTGCGAACCTGAAGAAACACCACAGGAAGGATCATTGATACACAGCATTTTTATCACAGTAATACCTGTCAGCTGCTTTAGGATCCTTTCTGGACTGGAGCAGGGGTCCAGAATCAAAACTAGTGCTTCAGAAAGGTGAAATCAAAATCCAGCTCTGAACTGGAGCCACCACAAAACCCAAGTGCCATTTATGTTTGAGTGCTGTGAGAGAGTTGGTTCTGCACGTTAAGGTCTGAACTTGGAGCTCAATCACACTAACCAGAAACAAAATGGATAAATGCCAGTCCTCAATGGGGAACCCAAAGGATTTCCTCAGCTTGACTACACAGTGTATTTTAAACCCTGTGCTGTTTAAAATGGAAATAGAGATGGTTTCTCAGTGCCCTGAATTCACCCTCTGTTTTGTAAATACTCTAGTCACATTTGGATTTACCTCAGGATCCAGCCAGGTTCAGAGCAGGATAGGCTGAATCCCTCCCTGGATCTTAACGCTGAGCCAAAACCCTACAACTTTTCCTTCCAACACAGCAACTCAATTCTCCAGGCTCCCTCTGTACAATGGCCCCTCTGCCTGCAGCTATTACCAAAACAAATGGCTCCAGGCAGTGGCTGGAGCAGCTCAGCACAAAGTGTCACCTCCACGGGCAAGGCAGAGGGTGATCTCTGTGCACCAGAACAAGGCAGTCCTAGTACAAAACCCTCTGCAAGACAGAGAAGTCATCTGGAGGCACATTTTGAATGTCAGGATCCCCTTGCTAGAAATGAAGGAAGAATGCAGTTCTAAACCAGACAAAGGGTTTCCAGAGACTGTGGTCTCTTGTGAGCTTAAATCAGGGCGATGTACATGCAGCACTGCAAAGCATGGAACATTTTCTGACAACAGTTTTATGCCTTCCAGAGAAGCTCCCACAGAGTCCACTTCACTTACACTACTGTGACCTGCTCTCTGTCTCTGCTTAGACTCCTGATGCATGGCCTCCCCCTCAGCCTTGCATACAACCATGCATATTATGCTGAACAATAAGAAATTGAGATAATCATACAGTGTGCATTTATTCAGCTTTGACCCTACACACAGTGTGAGCACTGTGTTACCATTTCAATATGCCAGAAAGAATGATTATTTTATGAAAATCTGCACTGTTGGTGAAGTCCAAGGTCTTTGAATTTTTTATGGTTTGCCTGCCCCTAACTGTGGCAGGGCTCTGAAGCTGCCTGATTGGTTGGTCTGGGAAACAATCTCCTCAGCTGTTTCAAGCTACCATGCAAAGGCCAACTGTGTAAACGGTAATTTTCTCCTAATGAAGAGAAATAATTCTTACTACTGATGTCCAAAGATGAATTAAAACCCCAAGTACGCCAGGATACATCAATTTTCCACAGAAACATTTACAAGGTACATAGGTCTTTAAATAGAAAGGAAGGTGTTCACACAGACAACAAACAATCATTAACTTCTAAAACAACATTTAATTTCTGTCTCTCCTACAGCAGTATGATCTATCCCACAGCATCCTAAAGCAGATTTTCCTTGCTATACTCTAACAACCATGTGGCCACATCTTTATCAGAGGACAAAGCCGCAGCTGGGAGGGACAGAACAGCAATTATCACCCTGCTAAATTCCTACAGCTGCCAACGGGCATAACCAGCAGTGCCAGCTGAGCTGGAAAGGGATGTGCTGGAGATACTCATCCAGGAAGAACAGGGTGGGAAAACTCAAAAACAACAAAGATTAGAAAACACACTAGATGTAAAATTGTCAGATGAGACCTTAAAATGTGGTGATAAACTGAAAGTAACCAAAAGCTTCACTGGCTAGAGAAAAAACAATTTTACCTTATCTGGTTGAGTAGGAAACTGGACAACAATCTCTGCATCTTCAGTGGAGAAGTAGTCGTTCTTAATCAAGTTATCAATCAAGCACTGCGTGTTTCGGATCCTACTGACCAGAAGCTCTCGGTGAACCTTCAGCAAAGCAATGAAGGACAGAGGGCTTGTTTCTGGAGGCTTTTTCACAGAAATGTCCACATTAGCACAAAGTTGGCCTTCCATCTTTGAGATACCAAGAAGCTGCTCCACCAAGCCTCATCTTTGAAAAACTGTCCATTTGTAGTGACAGGTCAGCTCAGATTTAACTTCAGGCAAACAGGAAATCTGTCCTGCACATCACCGAGCCTGCAAAAAGTAATTGTACAGAACCTCAGTTTATGCACATACATCCTTCAGTTAGACATCACAGAATACTCCCAAACTCTCTGTAGTATCATGGCCAACTTCTTAATAATGTTTCTTCCTTAGGTACTTTCATTTATTTGTTCAGGTTTTGAAAAATAAAATATCTACAACTGGCAGTCTCCCTTCTGTTACCAGTATTTTACTCTAGCTTGCCTCAAACACCATCACTGGCATCTGCTTAATTAATTGCCTGTTCCTAATGCATAATTTAATATTTTTTATTAGTTTTTAATGTTTGAGTAGACAAAGCAGGGCATCTGTCCAAACATAATCTGGACAAGGAAATAAACAGAATAAAATTATACTTCATAGCAATTAATTTTGTAGAAGGAATTAATTTATAGTAGCAATTCACTCTGCTTTTTTTTGCTACAACAAGAGACTGTAAGAAGTGCTGAAAATATAGTACCTGAAAGCAAGGCCTTGTGAACTCTGAGGCAGTTTTAGCTAAACTAGAAAAAAGAGTTAAGCCTCTAAGGATACAAGGTTCACCAACACCAGGAGGGATGCTATTTTGAAACCATACTCTTTAGCATGAATGCTCTCTCCTTGTCTGCAAATACATACACAGTGTATGCCCTTGTTCTCCAAACCACCTCTTGGGAGCTCTTTTTAGATAACCATTTATTCCTATTTTTTCTCAACAGGGCATAAAGCAAGAGGAATCAGGATCAGACTGCTCTCTGTTTTATTACTAAAGCAGGGCTTCTTGTAATTTTAGTTAGTGTGCCCACCATATAATAGGCATGAAGTTATAGTGAAATTACAATTCAACAGTAAGTTCATTTAGGTACTATTTAGGTACAAATTGCACATATGATTTCACATGTAGGAAGCTAATTTTTTGCCAAGATCTCAACTGAATCACCTCCACACAGACAGGGAGAATCTGCACGATCAACACAAAGGACTGACAACGCCCAGTAACAGTTAAAACACATTGTTGTTTCAGCAGGTCAAGGGATATCTGGAAGAATGTTTTTAGATTCTGATTACAGTCATATTAACAAAACCAAAAGACAAAACCCTTCAAAAATTCTGTAAATGTGCCAACACCGCTGCTACAAAATTCTCACAGTTTCCCAAGACATTTGCAATGATGGCAAACCTTCTCAAATGCTCCTCAGCACTCCCCAGTCAAGATATAACTGAGCCTTGCCAGTTCACAGATTATTCTAAATGACCTGCTACTGGAACAATCTCACTTCTATGGGTTTTCCATATCAGAAGCTGCTGTCTGCATCAGTGAAGCTTCCCCGGCTTGATGCTGGAGAAAGACACAGTTTATGCCACTGCATTTTAGTGATACTAACTATCTACACTCAAACCAGCAGGGCAAACCAGCTTAGCCCCTCAGATTTCCCAACAGGTCCCAGCTTAGGGGGTCTGACCTGCATGAACACAGATAACTGCATTAAGAGTAGGGCTCTCCAAGGGCTGAGACCTGGCAAATCCCCAGCACAACTGTTCTGGGTCACAGCCAATTCCCAAAACGGCAAAACTGTTTCCAACAAACGGAATGTAACCAAGCAATCTGAATTTCTTACCACACCAGTAAGTGACTGCATCTACTCAGACAAATCAAGCTTTCATTACCCCATTCAGATGACCCTCCCGAGGAAGTGGCTGATTTCTGAGTCACTCAGCTTTCCAGAAGCCACACTGGCACATCTCTTTGTTCAAGAAAGCTCATTCTGCAAATGAAGACTGAGCATGTTGAAAACATAATTCAGCCTTAAATATCTGTAGGCTTTAGTTAAAGAGATAGTATCATCTTAAAACGTGCAATTAAAATATTGACCCTATTCTTTCAAGATACTGCATCCACCCAACATTCCTTGGTTGCTTTGGTTATTCCAGGACCACATTATTCTAATGCATTTTCTTTCTTCCTAATTTGTAAGAAGAACTGAGACAAATATTCATAAAACCATAAGAGCGAACCAACATGATGTCAAGTGTACAAAGCAAATTGAGGTATTTTTTTCACTATTTCAGTTCCATCTACAAAAAGCACAAGAAAGGAAAGAAGAAATACAGCAGCAGGACAGAACATGAAAAATATGGAACGACCAGAAGGTCTCAAAGATGTCTGCCCTGCATCTGACTACATCCATTTCAGTACAAACCATGGCTGCTATTGGAAGGGGTGTGCATACAAATGCTGCAGGACAGAGCACGTTCCCTTTCACACAGGGTGATCTGCAGGAGAATGGAGAAACAAGAAACCAAGTAGAAAGCAATATAAAGCGAGGCTAAACATCAGGGAGAAAAGGAGAAAGAACAAAAATGCCAAGCAGGGATTGGCAGGACTGGCAATATGAATTCTGTGCATGATGATGTACTCAGTGATATCTTCAATGAAAATACTAAATTTAGTGCAAACCCCCCATCCAGTACTGGAGTACTTAGTACTTTTCATCAGTCCTTTTAAGTCAGAAAAAAATGGCAATTTCCACCATTCACAGACTAAGAAAATCCACACCAGATGAAGAGCAGAACACTAAATGGTGCTGGAACAGAAAGACTTCCTGCTACATGTATTCATAGCAAAGTGTATCAGCTGTATGAAGAAACTTGATATATATGATTCTGTTTCTGTAGGGCTTTCTTTGTGTTGTTGGTGTTCTTTTGGCAGTGTTTTTAAAAACATGAGGCCAGTGTGTAACAACATGAGGTCTCCAGCTTATCTGCAAGCCCATCATCTCTCTTTCTGCAGAGTCCCAGCTTCCACAGTGCTTCAATATGATTTTTTCAGTGAGGGAACACAAGGTTGCTAACTCTCTTGCAGAAGGATCTGTCAGTTTCACAATGCTAGGTTACACATCTGGTATGTTTAAAGGTAAATGCTTATGCAGCTTATAAATAGGCATTGAAAGCACTTCCTTACTAGAGTGCATACAGTGTTCCTTGCCTTATCTTGGGCCCTCCAGATGCTGGATTCAATTCCAGTGTAATTTGTGTGACTGCAGTTGCATCAGTCATGGGGATGCTGTTAGAAAAGACTGAGAATACACATTAATGTGAGACACCTCAGGGTACTGCCTTCCACTTCTGAAAGGGAAAAAGTGAGTAAAATCATTTTTCTGAGAGACACCTTAAGGCTCTTACAAAGTTATGGACAAAACAGATCGTCTGCTCTAACAGCAACAGCTTGTGAACACATCTATTTGCAGAAATGAGCAAGAAAAAGGGAAAGACGTGCAAGCTTGACAGAGTAGCTGAAACAGCAGAGCACCTAAGGAGGAATGGAGACTGATAAGACATTTGAAACCTGAATGAAGCAGGAGTCTAGAATGGGAGACAACAGGAGAAAGACTCATGGGGAAAAGCTTCCTATCTGGGAACTGAATGTACTTCTCATTCCTAAGAAGAAAAATTAAAAACACAATTACTTACTGAAGAGGCTGCCAGTGATGTTGGAGAGGAAATGCAGTTAGCCATTTTGAGGGCAGCAAAGTCCATCAGGTGAAGAAGGCAGGAAACAGACTGGAAGGAATTAAAAAGAACCCAAGAGCAGAACACCTCCCCACCAGCTAGCTGTAAAAGCCAAGAAGAAAGGGAAGACAGGGTCTTGGCCAAATGAAATGCTGATGGGGACTGAAGTGATACAAGAAGCAACAGCAAGTGTGGCAATCAATGCCATCAAAAACCTGTGCCACTGAGAATAAAAAGAGGAAGCAAGATGGGGATCAGGCCAGGAATAAGGAGGGAAATGAAACAGGGAAATGAAATTTGTCATAGTAAGAGGTACAGTAAAAGCATCAGTACTTCCAGCAAGGTTTTGTATAATCCATGTCAATAAGCTGCAGTGAAGGCACTGGCACTTTATCTCGTGTCTCCTCTGAGTTCCCTCTACTCTCAGCATTGTGCAAGCATATATTCATTTCTACTTTCCCTGGCCCTGCCCTCCTCACATCCTCTTTTTACTAAGATCTCCCAGCTCTTTCTTCTAAAAAAACTGAGAAGCCTGTTCCACTTCCAGTGCTGTAAGACCCCTGGCATCACAGAACGTGCTGGTTTATTGCAACAAGGTCTTGTCAAAGGTAAATGCTGTAGAAAAAGGGGCTGAAGGATCTTACAGAATAGCTAAAAAACATTTCTCCTTCTGGGTCAGCTAAGGAATTGAGTAGAAACGAATCTTTTCTTGATTGGGCTGGCTGCTCCAAAGGAGACTGTGTAGAATGATGCAGTAAAGACAATACAAGGAGCAAATTAGTTAACAACTGTTAAAGCAACGAATTTGAGACCAATCTAGAATATTTCTGAAGAGCTGAAAACTCAGTCAATTCTACTTCTTCGGCAGTCTTGCTATCTTGACAAGAAGTGTTCCTCTAAATTGCCTGTGAAACAAAGTCCTCTGTCACTACCCAGTTACCTGCAGCCAGCAGCTGGAATATCTTCGGGACTGACACAGCACCTGGTAGCCAGCTGTGGCAGGACAACAGTGAAGCACACAAACCTGGGTGCCAGCCCAGGGCTAGGGGAGTCCCCACTAGCACAGCCTTCTGTCCATAGCAGTCAAAACATAATCATTCTTCCAGAGGTGGCTGTATGAAAACAATGCTCCATTTCACATGAAATGGAGCCCTATGCCCTTTGTGTCTCCAAGTCAGATTTGTTTCCTGAGAAAAGCTAGTTTACAGTGCCAGTTAACTCGCTACAGAGTCATTACAGCAAGAGAACTGGAAACTTTGGTATGCTTGGTAATCTGGACTCTGTCAGGCCAGTATAAATTCAACATTTTGCTATCATTGGGAGAGACAGAAAAGGGATTGATTTTCCACATCTTATGTCATGCATGCAACAGGAGTCAGTCTTTGACTGTAATAAGTGAATAAAACACCTATTTCCACACAGCAGCTCTCACATTTAAAAGAACTTCAGCTATTTTACTTAGTTCAAGAACAGTAAAAAACATGCAGAGATCAGAGGCAAATGGGCACGTGTGCTACACAAAAAGTCTGCATGTTTGATGAGAAGCAATGCAATGTATTCCCAAAGGTACTAAAAAATAGCCCTTTATTGTTATAGCAAAAAATGGTGCATTGGTAGAGCTTGTACAGAGTCTCTGGGCAGATCTTAAATTATTCTGTTTGTGTGAATTAAAGCATACTCATCACGCCCCACTTCACAATGTCTAACTATCATCAGTGATGCTACACATGTCAATAAATGCCCAGGGAGCCGTATGTTAACATCATGTTCCTGTAAATCCATTACAACTCGTGCTCTTGCATCGCTCTGGGGTCCCAGAGATCAGCATCTTTCAGTGGTTTTTCCTCCCTCCCCTCTCTCAGTCTCTTTTGACTGTATCATAAGCTTTTGTAAGCATCCCTAGTTATTTGAAGAGCAACAGATATAAAAGAACACAGAAGAAATTATTTCTGCCTCCATCTGGTAAAATGACAAGCTTTTCTTTAAAAGGCACAGGCTTTGACAGAAATATTCCCATCTCTCACAGTTTTGTTCCTACATATCTTAACAGAATCCTCTGTATAGAAATATAACTTTATATATAGTGTTTGGATGCATTAAGAAGCCCCTGTCAGGAAGACTTTATGAGGCTTCCTTGTAACTCCTTCCCGTTGGGAAAAGATCAATAAATAATGAGCCACTACTAGAAAGAAAAGAAACTTTCTCCAACCAGAGAAATCTTGGGGAATTTTTTTTGCTAAGACACAGAGGAGGACAATTTACTGTGGTCTATAAACATGAAACTTTTCTATTATCATTTACTATTTTCACATTCAACCAGCAGTGAATCCTACACGGAAAGCTGCAGCTGATGGAATCACGGGACTGATGGAATTACGGCCAGGCCACGGGGCACCATCCCGCCCTGCGAGCCGCTCCCGCCTCCTTCTCTTCCAGCTTCTCTCGGGAGAGGTGGGCAAAGCACCGGGGCCTAAGCGAGTGGCCTGTGAGTCCGTGAGATGCCTGCATTGGGATCTGCGCTGCGGCTCTCGGGGCAGCAAAAGGCTCGCTGCACCCCGCCACGGCCGCCAGGGCGGGACGGCAGCGATGCATGGGAAGCGATGGGACCTCGCCGCCCTTCCCCAACA